GTGTGTGTGTGTGTGTGTGTGTGTGTGTGTGTGTGTGTGTGTGTGTGTGAGACGCCTTTATTTTGCATCACCTCAGTAGTCCATTGGGGACATTATATTCTTCAGCAATTAGATATTTGTATTTTTTTTTTTTTATCTTTGGAATAATTAAAAACTGTATAAAGAATCCACAAATTAAGCAAGTCTCATAAATGCAAGGAACTTCAAAGGAGATTTGTCATCTTTAGACTGAGTTGTGTGTTGTTGTGAAGAGATCGTTTTATTATAAGGAATGTATTATTAGTTGCAGAACATCCAGCACAGGACATGTGGTTTTGATTGTGTCTTTGACGATGCCTCTTTAGAATGCTTTTCACAGTTAAGGCATGCTCTGTAGCAGCTGAGCTTTGCATGGGCTTTCCTAGGGTGTGCTTTTTATGTGTTTTCAGAGATGACACACAGTTTACAGAATGCACTGAAGTCTGTTCAATGAATAATACAAAATATGCACTCATTTTTTTCCTTTTTTTTTTTTTTTGTTGTTGTGCTCATTTTGTCACATTTTGTGTTCCTGTCCCATGGGGGTCACAGAAGCGCAAGCCTCTTCAGGCTGCAGCGGAGGTATGGAAGGGTGTGAAAAAGCTGTCCTCCTGCCTTCTCCGCCCTCTGTCCACTTCCCTCTGCCTTCCCATTTTTGTGTGTTCGCTGATGTTTCTCCGCAGTATGTCCTCATTTTTCACATTCTTATGGGGGCTTACTCACCTTAGAGGGTTGGTCTTTTATGTCTCTGGATGGAAATGTTTCTTCAACAATTTATGTTCAAGTAAATTATCTCGGTACGACATACAAGTATTGTGAAAATAAACCATGACAGACGTTTCTTTAATATTATTTGAATTAAATAGTAAGGATACCTCGAGACAAAACCATGACATCGATCATCTTCAACATCAGCTTCATCCTAAAACCCGGGTATCTGCAGGTCTTAAGTACCTCATTGTTTCATGATTTGGAAGGTTTGATCGTCACACGGGTATCAAATTGAAATCTCTGAATTCTTAACTTTAACTTCGTGCATCCTGCAGAAACCGTGTAAAACATTACTCGTCATTTTACAGCCCCGCGTTAGAGAGGCGGTGATAGTGCTGAACAATTGATAGCTTTGTGCACAACTTTCTTGGGATCAGATCAGAGAACAGCAGAAGGCAGTGATTTTCTGGACAGAGAGGAGAGACTTGGGAGGACTTGCACTTGAAATGTGTGGCAAGAATGGTGATTAACTTGACAACAAATGCTTCAAACCACATTGTACACTAACATGTTGACATTCTGTAATTTAAACAGAATACGTAAGACTTTTTTCCGCTTCTCATTTTTTTTTTGTCTTGCACTACTGCTGGGTTGCTTTGTTATCTGGACCTTAGGTTAAAATGTATTAATTTAATTATCAGCAGACTGCTTTGTTATCCACAGTCGAGGCTTGTGTGGTATTGCTGCTTGGTACTAAGCAAGTGGGGTGATGTTTCTAAGAGCACCCAGCAACCTTTACACACATGCAGTAGAAAAGGCTTTTTTAGCTAGTTGTCTATCCGAGACAGTGCAACTGTGCAGAACTGACAGTTGTTAATACCATGTGTGAACGGAAAGAGTTTTTAATCTAACTTCAAGCCAGATGTCCCCCATTCCAAACCCTCCACCACAACCACTTGTGCCATTTGACATTTTAACATTCTTCCTTTTTACTGTGCGACCTGGAGGTGGACAAAATAATGGATTTTCAGAGTAACTTGGTTACACTTACAAATGTGAGTTGTGCATGGTTGAATGCAACAGCAGCATTTGTCAACTAAAAACAGATGTGCAGTGCCCAAATTACAAAAAACTGCCGCCACATTCCTAATCCAGGCAAACTGCAGCAACACGAGAAACATGCCTTTCCTTTTGAAGCGGTGTTTGCAATGGTGAGAAGTTGTTTTCTCTACCTCCTGTATCTCTGTACTCTGCCTGTTACCATCCCCATCCTGCTATTTTCCTGAGCCTGAGCCCCCCCCCCCCCGCCCCCCCCCACCCGCTGTCCCCTCTCCCTCC